GAAATAAAGTGAACTTCCCTACTTGACAGCAATAGAAAATTACACACATAAATGTGGAAAATAAAACCAAACCTTGTTCAAAAGGGCACCTAGCTGGATCCTCCCCGAAATACTGAGACAATGAATCTGCACTTCTTCCCAACAAGATAAATGTGTAAGTAAACTTAACTAAGCAAGAACCTGCAGATTTTAACAAGAGAAAAAAAGAAGGCTCACCACTTCAGAGTACAAGGAGATAAGTGACCTTACTTCAGCTTCAGCAGTATAGAGGAAATTCTTCAAGGCCTGAAAGGTCAAGTATTGATTCTTAGCTTTGCATTAAAACAAACATATTTTTTTTTCTTTTTGTAATTTGACTTCTATGCAATTTAAAGACTAGGCATTCAAAATCAAGGAGAAGCAATAACACAGACCATAATAGTTTCAAAGTAAAACAACTAAATTCCATAACTAGAAAACACAAGCTTACACGACATGAATCTAAAACATACGAACAAATGACGCTGTTAAGATTCTTGTGCAAGCCATATGGATATGATTTCATTTTCGATAATTGTTTAAAAGTGATTTTGACTTTGATAACTGTGACCGAGCCTCTGTACCACAAAGATGATGATGATAGAATTTACATTGCTTGCAACACTCTCCCAACCTCAACTAAGACTTCCACTAGAAAAATCATCAACTTAATGTCAGCATGGCTAATATTCCTTAGCAAAATCAAACCAAATTGATTGCTGAATTTTCCACTAAGATTAAAATTTCAGTATTGGCAAATCCCCTTTATTTTATATCTCAGCATCACTGTCAACAAACATATACCAGTTTTGTCATCAACCTAGAATTATGTACATCTATGAAGATCCAACATAAATCTGGAAAAAGAAAAAAAGAAAAAAAGAAAAAAAAGAGAAACCTAGTATCCCAAGTATGTCCCCTACCTTTTGGAAGCTTGCAGAGATGGCACCATCATTCTCTAAAGCAGTGAATTCCTGCTCAACCTTTTCAAGACCTTTGCTCACAGCTTGCATTTCTTCAGCTAAATACTTCAAGTGGATCTGGCCAATTGATATGCAGATGGAACAAGCAATAAATTGTAGAACTCAACTAGAGACACCCCATTCACATATTACATTAAAAAAAATGCAAACCTTAGAGGTTGCTTCCAAATGAACGAGATCCTTATCAAAATCCAGCAACATTGGCATCTTCTCGGCAATGAGCTAATGAAGACAGCAAAGCAATTGACATAGCGTCACACAAGAATTCAAAGAAACATAGGAAGAATAAAATACAAAAAAGATGTTGAACATGCACAACAAAATAGAAGCTGTTAAACACATATGGTGAACTATTCAAGAAGAGAAAATAGTTTGTTAAAACCTACCATCACCTACTCCACCTACTACACCTACCACCACCTACTACCACCTACTACACACCTACCACTACCACCTACTACCACCTACTCCACTACATCTCCTATATAAGGAGCCCCTCACCATTTGTAATATACAGCATACATCAATCAATAATACATCAATTTTAACATGGTATCAGAGCAGGTTTAGAACCTAGTATTTTCGCTTCCCCGGCGGGCGGCAACCTCACCTTAGCCGCCCGCCGGACCTCAACCTAGTCCGCTAGAATTTTCAACACATACCACAAACACATACCAGAAACTCTTCTTTCTTTGTTTCCTCATCTTCATCGTCACTAATTTCTTTCTCTGTGGTCTTCTCTGTCCAGAGGTAGATTGGGTAGCTAATGAACTCAGAGTGCCTCGTCACAAGTTCTCCAAGCACAATAATCATTTTAATCTGTGGGATGTTGTTAAACCACAGAACATGGTCAGAAAGTGTAGAGCCCGGGAACACATCTCCTCCAATCACAATACCTTCATAAATTCCGTCTGTTACACGGGCAATTGTATTGTACAGTTCATTAGACATGCCACCAGATTTGGAGACAAAACCAACAGATCCAGGCCTATACAGCTTCCATGTCCACCGCCAACGACCAGCGCTCTCAAGCCGAGTCTCTCTTCAATCTCTGCAAGCAAACACACCCCAATGTCCGCCATCCTCCTCCGCAAGCAGCTCACTCGCGACGACTCTTACATATACCCCAATCTCATGCCTCGCTGCGACCTCGACATGGCCACCGGCTGGCTCTGCCCTTAGATTCTCAATCCCTCCACCGTACCTGGCGTCACCAAGTTCTTCGATCTCCCTTTGGCTTCAAGCGGCGCCGGCTCTCTGCCGAAAGAGAGCTAGAGCTCGAGAGAGGGAGTTGCCGAGACAGAGGTGCCGAGCGGTTGCTACCGTGTGTAGTGTGTTATCTATGTGCTGGGTCTTTGCCTCCACCCTTGCTTTCTTTCCGCCCGTGCACCCCCCGAGGGACAGCCACTGCTGTGTTGTTTTTGAGAAGAGTCAGAAAACTTGCATCGAAATTCCTCTCTCTCACTTTACTTTTTCAAACCCACAGCTCCTTTTTCTTTCACCACATGATCCCCTTTCGTTTCTTTTCTTTATTTTTCATTTTCAAACACACAATCCTTTTTTTTTTAATCAACCCACTCAACTTTCTTTTATTTTAATATCTATCTATATATATCTATGTTTATTATAATATATTGCACCGACTCTGTCTACTTTTGCACAAACCCATTTTCTTTTCTTCTTTTCTTTCTTTATTTATTTCTTTCTTTTCATTCCTTTATTACATCTATACCCATATCCATCATCACACTCTTTTTTTATTTATTTCTTTTCATCACCTTTTGCACCTCCCTCACCACAAAATAGAATTTTTTATTTATTTATCTTATCTTTTTTTTTTGTGTTCCCTTTTTCACACAAAAAAAAACACAAAAAAAAAAAAATATAATATATAATTATATATAGCTTTGCAGCACCCAACGCATATTTTATTATTTCAGGGATCAACCCCGATCACAATTTTACACCAAAAAGAAAAAAAAACCAAAACAGCAACACCCAAGATTTGTTTGTTTTGACGGCCACCCACTGACCTCACGTTCTTCGCCTATTCCGCCGGTCCTCATTCTTCTTCCTCCGTCCTGGCGGCCCTTGCCGGTGCTTGCCTTCGCGTGTTTCCACTCCACTGGGACCGATCCTACTTCCTTGCTCATCCATGCGAAGCTATGGCGGACCTCCAAAATCGGACAACATAGGACGGTGGCTTCCGCTTCAGCAATTTTTCCCGCCTTAGCCACTTATCTCTGCTTCGTGCATACCTTATCATGCAGTTGGAGCAGAGCCAGTTGGCGTTTAATTGGCTGCATCGCTCATTTGTCCTACTCTGCAGCCGGTGCGAACAAGTTTGTGACCGCCGTCATGGTCTCCAACACATGACTTCAAAGCTATCTGATTGGGCCTCAATATCTGTTTGCACTGGCCATTTTTTGCTCCACCGATCGCATAGGGAAGTTCAAACGGCGCAAACAGGCCCGGCTTGGTTGCGGTTCAAGGGCCACCGACGAGTTTATTTCTCTTGTGGACTCGTTGAGGTCGGGAAAAGAGTGAGCAGACCACGGGAAGAGAGGCCATGTTTTTGGTTGCTGAGTGTTTCAGCGAAGCATGCGATTTCGACTGTACTTTCAGAGAAGGATTGGGTTACAGAGTGTTTTCAGAGGGTATTTCAGAATCGCAAATGTCGGGCGGTTTCAGACTGGTTTGCACGCTTCCGCTCAACCTTGGTTAATAGCCAAGGCAGACACGCGCATCATGCGTCGCTCGGCGCTGCGACGACAACATGGCGCTGCCCCCCCCCCCCCTTTTGATGGCACGCCTTTTTATGATTGGCAGCCTTTTGATGGCACGCTTTTGAAAAGATTGGGCACACCTTTTGAGGGTGCGACTTTTTTAGGGGTCGCGACAAGACTCTGTAAACTGTCCCGACATTGATTCCGTTTAGTTTCTACATGGGTCCGACAAGACTCTGTAAACTGTCACAACAACTGTCACAACATTGTCTGCTACAACGGTCCGACATGATCCCATAAACTGTCCTCTATATCGGTCCAACACGAGCCTGTGTCTTCTACATCGGTCTGCCATAACCATACAGTCTTCTACAACGGTCTGACACGACCATACAGTGTCTCCTATCTATTTTTTTATTTTTCAGATTATTTTCTTGTTTTGTTACTCTCTCCAAACTCAAGTTGGTTAGTTCCTATCCCCCTTGAGTTTGCAAAAAATGCAAACCTTAGAGGTTGCTTCCAAATGAACGAGATCCTTATCAAAATCCAGCAACATTGGCATCTTCTCGGCAATGAGCTAATGAAGACAGCAAAGCAATTGACATAGCATCACACAAGAATTCAAAGAAACATAGGAAGAATAAAATACAAAAAAGATGTTGAACATGCACAACAAAATGGAAGCTGTTAAACACATATGGTGAATTATTCAAGAAGAGAAAATAGTTAATACATGCAAAGCAATTTAAAGAACCATTATAAATTTGTACATACAAAATTACTCTCTAAAAACTCAAGCATGTCAGATAAACAAATTTTGTGTCATAAAGAAAACTTCAGTGTTACATGTTATTAGACAAATATCTAGCAAGTAGTAACCAAAAAATTCCTTTACAAAAAGAAGAGAGCATTTTTCCTTTCAAGCATATTTCTAAATTGTTCTCTTTTACAGAAAACATTGTATGCCTACTCCTGGGCATAAATCAAGCTCCCGAGGTCACTATGATTGAGCGATTATTGACTTAAATGATGGTGAGCTCGGCAAGATAAGTCATCATTAACTATAAAATAATTCATACACATGCAATTAAAAATTCAATGAGGCATTTTTTAAGTGAGAATTTTGACATTCTGATCTCGCACAAATAATGCATCAATGTCATTTTATTGTTCCTTGCACGAGTATCAGACAACTTAAGTAGGCTGTCCAATTTGAATCCTATCACAGATCTTGAAATACAAAGGAGGACATCAATGTCAAAAAAGCTTTCCACTAAACAAAATATCTCATATAGATCATAACAAACTTCAATCTCACAGAATAATTCCTCGAGTAGTGCCTTGGTTCAATGCATTTCCTAAAGTGAGAATCATCTGCATTACTTGACACAATTTTGCAGATTCTTTTACCTACAATAACGGGTATGATATTAAGGTACTGAAAATGATTTCTTGCTAGTACTAACTACACAAACCCTAAATAAAGGAAGTACCTCTCTAGCAGCAGCATTAATTGTGTTCAGGTTGCATCTTAAGTCACTCACCTGAACAAGTTCGAAGCTATAAGCACATACAGCTAGAAATAATAATAGCATTTCTCAGATAATACACACACACACACAAAAAAAAGATGTCCCAGATCAATATACCTGACTGGAAAAAATAATTCTGAACGCAAATACTCGTAATTTGGACTCCACTCGCGGGATATTCATCAACTCCAGAAAAACTGAAATGTTCATCAAGCACAAAATTTGTTAGCAATACATATACAGGATTTTTGCACTTCCCTTCCCTCCATCATCAAGACAAAACAAAAACCTGTTCACACATTCCAAGCATATCGTTGGTCCCATTGTAGTTCTGAAAGAAAGAAAAATCAGTAAGAAACCAATAAAATAGTTAGACGTAATTTTGAAATCATCTTAAGAGAGAAGAAGAAAGGAGTAAACCAGATACAAGTGTACCACAGCTCAAGAAACCAACAAATGAGTAATTTTGAAGTTAATACAAAACCTTTTCATTTTTCAATACATGCCTAAGTCAAATACATACCATGACATCAAAATATCACATAATTACAACACAAAACCAACAAATTGAGAGAGAGAGAGAGAGAGACAGAGAGGGAGGAGGTATGAGAGTGTACCTTCAGCATTGTCATTTCTTCTTTTGTATGACAAAATTTAATGAGATTTTCTACTTGATCAATGTCTAGGGCTGAAGAATCCAAAGCCAGAACATCATTCTGGAAATAAAGCAATAGACCCCCCTCCAAAAAAAAAAAAAAATAAATAAATAAAATGATACTAAATGTTCCACTTTTCAAACTAAGACGCATAAAAATGAGACTTCCAAAAATGGAAAGTTAGACATTAAATGAAACAAAACAAGCGGCTCCAAAAAAAAAAAAAATCTAATAGAAATTTGATGCAAATGAAACTACCGTGCTTTCCACACACACACACACAACCACAAAACACTTCCCGAATGTTTCATGTTCCAACCAAGCGTATAGATTTCAATGAACCTCAAGGACTTTACTTTGTAGCATGGAAGTCCACAATGGAAGGATCTTGAAAAATCAAACTCAATCAACATAGTGACTGACAGGCAGCTCAAATTAAAGAGAGAACAGGACCAGCTTGTTGGCAGTCCACTTTTATGGCTAGGATATGGACAGAGACATTACATGCTTATACAAGTTGACATTAAATGCCCTTAAATCAGACAGTGCAAAAAACATGTAATCTGCCGCACTAGCAATTTTAGCTACATTCTCAAGCATGGTCAAATTAAGTGAACTTCATGATAAAAATAAAATGATAACAAAGACCACTCCAAGTGCACAACTATATATTATGGTATGAAATATTAGCATTAGCAAGTCATTCATCAAATTCAAACAATATTGCTTTTGATAAATATTCATTTTCCTTTCAGGTTTTGCAAGTGAGTGATTCATTTTTCTCTGTTCTATATTTTTCTTATTTTCTCTTTGAAGATGTTTTCTTCCTGGGATATTATTTCTACGGTCATATAATTTAACAATAAGGCCAGAAATTTTAAATGCAACTTTAGGAGCCTCCCGATGAACAATTTCAAGATTCTTTTTTTATCCACTAGGAAACTTTCTAAAAATCAACAAACTAACTAAAAGAAATGCCAAGAGCGGCCAACCCCCTCTCTCTCACAATGAAACAGAATAACATTTTGGTGATTCCCACCTGAGAGTCAACTTTCACAAACACGAAGGAAATGGTGAATCCATTTTTTTCTTTACCTATAACATTATGTTGAGATATTTAGTTATAACCTTTTTGTATTTGATTATAACATTTTTTTAATTAAGATTTAAAAATGATGAAATTATGTTATTTTTTCTGTGCTTATAACGTGAATATGTGAATATGGTACACACCCACAATTTCAAATCGTATGTGAAGATCAACCGATTGCTTAGTGAACTCGGAATCTTCAACAGAGGCTTTGTTTTCTCGACTCTAGAAGAAGACAATCCTCGCGAACTTCCTCCTTTCTCCAGCGAGTTTCTCTCTCATGACTCCTTATTATTACTGCTTCAATTTTTTTAAAACACTAATTAATTTCCTTTTTTTTTCCCGCAAAATCATACAGAGATAATCGATTTGGATTCAGAAACCCTAATTGTTGCTAATCGGGAGCTTATACAGAAGATAAAATCAATTATGAAATGGATAGTATTCTGCACTGGACAATTTCTAGTTCAGTTTTGGAAAGTCATCGAAATGGGGGCAAGCGTTTACTTACAACAACTCGAGACCAACCTTTTGGTCTTTCCACAACCCATGAAGGACTTTGTTCTTATAGATTGATATCACTTGATTATCAATTTTATGTGGATGGGAGGAGCGAGGCGGACCTTGGCCTCGCTGGCCGTGTTTTTCGACATCAAAGGCCCGAGTCTAGCCCAAATGTGGTTAGCAATTTTAGGAGATCTTGGACTTTGCCAATGCTTGAACGTTCGAGGCGGTGTTGTGTGTTGGAAGGGGTTGTGTCTGAAACTAGGTTTATCAATAGATTGAATTTAATTTGAATCCAAAACCCAATTGATCCAATTATTGCTGGATTAGATTCCTAGCCTTGGTTTAAATAAGTTTAATGGTGAAATTGCCACGGAACTCTGTCACCTCAGCCCTTTTCAAATCTTAGACATTGTAGACAACAAATTGTTTGGAACATTACCAAGGTGTTTTAACAATTTCTCAGCCATGGCCATGATGCAAAACTCAAAAAGTTGGATTTTTCAAGAAAATCCCCACACCACACGCTCTTCAAACCCCACAAATTGAACAATACAAGTTACATAAACTCCAAGACTCCAAATAAAACCAAAATCTCACACACACTTGGAGAAAATTGACTCTTGACATCCTAATGAAATGGTCAACAGGTTAACCCCATTGATTATGGCACTACACTTTTTATTAACCATAGTCATAAGACATAGTGACCAAAAAATATTCAGCTCCAATCCCCCTGATTCTGAAAAAAAATAAAATTATGACATGTCTAAAATCACTTGATCCTACTCAGTTGCCATAACTACTTTTACAAATTCATAACCATCAATTTTCTTGCTCCTGTTAGTTTTAGGACTCACTTGGTTTGACCAGGACGTCGTTGACTCTTGGATAGCACAGAATGGCCCATCTTGTGAGGTTTTGACTTCTACTTCAAAAATAACAAGACAGCATTGGATATCGCCAGCACCACCGCTTCACAACCACCACTGTTGCACCACCACGTATACCAATTTTGTCCTTGTAAGGCATTGAAAAGTTAAATTTGATTGAATATATCACAACTCTCAATAATTGAACTTTGCACCAATAGGGACAAGGCATGCATGGACTTGGAAGATCAATAATAGTCAAAAAAATACGCCAACCGATTTCCTGACTATTCTTCCTCACACCAATCGTTGGTTGGGGTAATTCCATAGATTGCTTATCTGATGAGATAGGAGATGAAAGAAATCACACCCTGAATTCCAAATTAATGCCAATAAATTTATAGGTATTCAACGCAAATCAATTTCATAAAAAAGTTGAAATATAAGAATTTCAAGATTCTATCGAGCGGCTAAGAATGAATTAAAAGAAGAAGATAAAGAATCTTGTACCCCATGTATTTGTCTCATGTTAGTGATATTTTTCTATAATAATTGACTCAATGACAAGCATTATAATAATTTAATTCTTTGATATTAACATGGAAGTAAAACTACTTGAAAAAATACAAAACTAAGTGAATTAAGAAGTAAAACAACCTAATTTGGACAATAAAAGATTCTATTTTTCAAGTGTGACAAAACATATATAATTGACATGCCACATAGACATATATATATATAAAATTCAGAGCCAAGAAAGTGACCACTGAAAGCATCAGTGCCATCCAAGACATGGCTCTCATAGCAAGAAATGAGACAGAAACTTTCATAATTTGACTTGAACCATATTGTGTACACCGTCACATTAAAGCAGTTCAGTTCCTCTACGTGTGTATATAAATTCCCACACAGAGTGCCGGACTCTGACAGTTGAAGTTGGAGAAGAGAAGTGACTTCATGGCTTCTTCTCTGCCAAATTGTCCGCCGTTTGAGTTCGCTGCCAAGTATTACTCCGGCACGGGGGACAGTTGTGTGAGACACAGCCGTTTCTTTGGAGGGAAACCAGTTTTAATTCAAGGTGTTGGGTGCTCTGTTATTCTTGGATTTGGGGCCTTCTTTGCTCTCTTCACCTCCTTTCTATCTCTACACTGTATTATTATCAGTAATAGTAGGTATTATGAAAAGTCTTTCATGAAAATGATCATGAAAGATTTGTGATCTTTGAATTATACTTAGAATAAAGCACCGCACACTAATCAAGGTAATCCAAGGGCCACAAATCTTTCACGATCATTTTCATAAAAAATCTTTCATGATCCCTAACATTTCTCTATTATTATTCATAGGGTTCACACTTGTGATTAGTGGCAACATTGAATAAACCCACCATTTGGGGAATTTTGTCTCATAAAATGGGTGTATTGAGAATTTTTGTGGGTGTATTTAGAATTATCCAGAATCCTGTTGAAAAGTTTTAGGCATTGGAATCCTAAAAAATCCCCTCATAAAATCATAAAATTTTCTCTTGCCTCGTGGAGTTGCGTTTGTTTTGTGGAAGTCTAGATGCTATGAAGTATGCCGTACTTGTATTGAATATTTATTGCTTTATAATATTTTATATGATATTTTTATATATGTATTAAGTATATAAAACATATATCTAATTTTTTTTTTCTTCCTAATTTTTAAAGTACTTAGTATATATTCAAACTGTACCGTACCTCAGTCAAAATAATATTTTTTAAAATTATAGAGATAAAATTCATTTCACTGTTTATTTTTAATTTTATACTTAGTATGATTTTAAAATTAAGTTTTGATTTGTAAGTTATTTAATATAATGACATTTAATTTTGATTTATACCATTATTTTTGGCATAAAATATTAATTTTAGGTTAGACCTTAACAAATTAATCCATTTAATCAAATTTTGCATTACTTCAAATTAAAAATAAATATTTTTTACAATGTACCAAAGCCATATCTATATCTTACTTTTTTTTTAATTTTACCGTATCATTCCATACCAGTGCTTCATAGGTAGATGGTAATGACCAGACCATTATATGACCTTTACATGTATGATAATTTGAGAGTGCCCCTTCCACATAGAATCATCAACAATTATTCGAATTCCCAAACAAGTATGATCATCAAGAAGTAACAACTATTTGAAACTCCAAACTAGTGTGAATTATCTTTTTGTTTCTTTACCATTATTGCTGGTTGTTTAAATTGAAACAACAAACTATGAATTAATTTGCTAGGTTTGGCTAGAGAAGCGATATGTTGGATCGTGCCACACATCAGAATGGTTCAACACTACAGGCAGGAATGTTAAAACAGGACTCACCCACTTCTGCAAATCTAGAAAACCTTTATGTTCACCTAACAAATGGCTTCAAAATATTGATTTCTAAAGTGGACTTGGGCTGCTACAATTTTACGAAGCTCAAATGTTGCATGGGAATATGTAGTTAGTGGTCCTTTCTGGTTAATGCCAGTGGGGCTACCATCCAGGCATGTCAACTCTGCTTTTTCCTCCATTGTTTTTGTTCTCAAGTTCTTTGTGTCCACAAGAAGGAAATCAGATACTTTTCAATAAATAATTTTGGTAATTCTAAATTGAACAGGTAC